CACTCTGTGAAAAAATTTGGTATTCCCATCCCCTTCTCTTGCCCATTTTATCTTTCCTCTTTGGCGCCATTTGACTTCCTCCCGGGCCGAACTGCCGGAGAAATTGGTCTGATCTTCACGTGATAAGTTTCTGTTCCTTCTGTAAGGGTCAATATTTCCGGTAAAAACCCAATGGAGTTTTTCCTGGTTCTAATTTTTGCTTCGAAAATGTATTTATAATTTTCGGTCCGCTGGTCCACCTGTAGCAGCCCCCCACATTCCATGCCAATGCGTTGGAAAAATTCCTTGCTCCACCAGTGCATCGGAAGCCCAGTAATACCCAGCCAGCCACCGTAACTGACAATTTTGGGGAGATTATTTTTCAAACCATGTTCCCAGCTGTACAGCAAAACATCTGTTTGCCCCTCCACCGCCAGTTTTCCTCTGCTACTAACTCTCATCGCTTCTGATTTGCTGTCGCAGGAGAAAAAAGCCCTATTAATTTGATAAGGGAATAAATTAACATTTTTATCCAACAGACCTTCCATAGCCTTCCGGATATCCTCCCAGGCCTGGTGCAGCACTTGCCTTTCGCAAACCACCACCCAACTCCAGTTTCCCATGTCATCAGAATTGCCATTCCCTTTTTCCTGTTCTTGTACAATCTTCTCAGTTTGTACCGCTTCTTTGTAAGTCTTGCCTGAAATTCTGCCTCTGGCACTCAAGGCTGTGTTGCCAACATCTTCTGTGATCCCGTGTCCGCTGGTTCTGTCTTTCCCTGTTATAATTCCTTCTAAATTCTCTTTAATCTGGATCCATCCACTATCATTTTTACCCTGGGGAATCACAACAGACTTCACAATTCCGTGTACACACTTGGTCAGTCTTAGATAGTATCCTTTCCAGTTATGAACCTTTTCCACCCACACTTGATAAGAATCCCCCCTGTACCTCCTGAAAAAACTCTGACCCTTACTATCCAAGAGAATCTGCAGCTCTTTGATCAACCATTCTACACAACTAAGTTCCATGGAAACATGGAACATATGATCGTTAGCCTTCTCTGTGATTAGAATTGACCCTCCATACGATAAAGCATCCACCTTAATTCGGAACTCCTTTGACTCAATGTTGAAAAACCTTGGTACATGTCTGTTACTCACCTCTCCCTCTTTCTGTTTCCTTTTCCCACTTTCTGTTTCCCTCTCTCTCCTACCCTCTCTCTCTCTCATCTCTTCAGCGTGCAATGCAGGAAAGCAGCATCAGCTTTGCGCTTCCACACACCATTCCCAGGTTCTGAATGGAAGAAACCAAGCGAATTAGGATCCCTATAGCACAAGGTATGTGCATGGATCCCATTGTATGCTTCAGATCTAAGACCTTCAGCAACTTGAAATCCTTTTTAATAAAATAGAATTCTGGAACTTGAAAGTCATTGAAAAAATGAAGCGATCGTAAATGAGGAGCATATGGATTTAGGAAAGGTGAGTATAGCTGACCATGCTGCGTAGGGTTAGAATATAAGGCAATTCTTCGAGATTTGGTTGATGGAGAAACTGATGATTCAACTTCACCACCAGTATAAATTCCAAGAAAATTTTCTTCCCATGATACGGAGAGAGAGAAGTCTCTAAGAAGATCATGGATGCGGATGGTCTTAACCCTCCCAAGTGAGGTTAGAGTTCCCACTTGGATCATGCACCTATTAATCAACTCATTCAAGCAATTTTCAGCAACACCTTCTGCTTTATCTTCCCCTTGTTGGGGTAAGAATCCTTCTGCTACCCACAAGCGCATCAATTGCGTTTTTGGTATGGAGAAATCCTCAGGGAAAAGACCCAAATGTAGAAAACATGATTTTAAGTAGAAAGGCAAGTCTTTATAGCTCAGGGCTAAAATTGCAGGAACACGATCTTGATCAATCAGGTGCCAACTGATGTTTTGAAGGACATGTTCCCATTCCTCTCTTGTCTTCATTTTCCTGGATAATAATCCTCCAAGCACCACCACTACCAAGGGTAGACCGCCGCATTTCGTCACCATTTCTCTTCCTAGATTCTCCAAGTCGGAGGGAAAATGATCTGTTCTCGGGAGTGCCTTCTTGCGAAACAATTCCATGCTTTCGTCCTCTGTGAGTATTCGCGGCTCATGGGGAATGCTCCTTGCATCTGCATGTAAGGCAACCTCCCTGTTTCGGGTGGTAAGCATCACTTTACTTCTTGCCATTCCACTAGTCGGAAATGCAGCTTCCAAACTATCCCAAACGTCCTTTTCCCATACATCATCAAGAACCACAAGATACTTCCTCCCTCTCAAGAATTCGTACAGCTGCTTTACCATCTCCTCTTCGTCTTCTTCTCCCAAACCACCTTTATATGGAACATTTAAATCTTTGATGATTCTTCTCAGAGTCTCTGTTCTTCTATACTCTTGAGACACATAAACGAATGCTTTACAATCAAATTGGTGCCTTAGATCAATGTGGTTGTACAATTTGTTAGCAAGAGTAGTTTTGCCTAGACCCCTCATACCTACAATAGAAATCACTCGGCGCTTCGGCTCCATGGTAGACAGTTGTGTTAGCAAGGCCTAAGTGTCTTGTACAAGATCAAGCAAATCGTCTTTCTCAATATGGGGTAATGGCTGTCTCCACCATCGCAGCTTCTCATTACTAGAAATGATCCCTTCACCTCCGTCTCGCGACGAATAGATGATGTTGGTGATGCTGAAACTGTCCTTTTGCTTAGAAATGTGGTCGATCCTTGATTGGATTTTTTCAATCTCCCTCTTCACTTTGTGAAGATGGATTGGCATTACAACTTTTTTCCATAAACTTTGTGATGCTGCTGCTGCTGCCTCTCTGAGGTAAGTTTCTACTCCATCTTCAGCATCGAAGGCCACTTCTCTGATCTGAGACACCCAATTGCGAAATCTTTCGTTTCTGTCTTGCTCTGCTGCATGATCTGCATCCTTGAGAAAGCTTTGCATCCACCTCAATTCATTTAGGATTTGCTCAACTTTTTCACTCACCCCATTCAACAGAATCGCTTCTTGAATGATCAAGTTTGTGAGCTTTGCCACGGCAGTTGCAACAGCAAGCTCTGCCATCTTTTCTCTCTTTGATTGGATTTTTTAAATTTTTTTCTCTCAACTGCTGCTACTACAGTTGCCCTCTAATGTTGGTCTGGTCTTGCCTTGTTAAAGCCTTCTGCACGTCCACTTTTCTTTTTTTCTTCTTTTCATGAACCTTCCAGTCTACTTCCAATTATTTTCCAAATTGTAGTTCATTGGTGGGTTCCTTGTTTCCGCGTGCACCTCCATTGCCAGGAAGGTCCCTCATAAGAGCAACTCCACCCATTTGCCCTTAGCCATGGCAAGGGGGGAACTAGAGCAGCCACTATTCACGTGAATAGTGGTTGCCCTTGCAAATAGTATTTTGTGTTTCCACCCGTTGCCATGGTTAAGGGCAATTACTATTCATTTTTTTGTTTTTTTCACAAATTTTTTTACCTCAATAATTAATTTGGACAAAATTTTTTAAAAAGATTTTTGGTGTGGGAAGTGAAAAATATGACTAAGTATTTATTTAAAAAAAATCTGAATTTTTTTGTTTTTTGTTTTTCAATTTTTTTCGATTTTTTTTTAAAAAAATTTGTTGCTGACGTCAGCAACCCTCGTTTTGGACCTCGGGCTGAACTGGCCTTCGGGCCAGCCCGACTTGCTGGGACCCACTTCCTGCCCGGGCTTGGGCTCACCGCTGGAAGCTGATTTTTTTGTTTTTCTCCCCCCAGCCCAAGGCTAGGGGAACCGCTGGAATCGCTCTAAGTCTAAAGTCATATTTATAGTTCAAACGGGCATCTCCTCCCATGTTCATTTGGGGTCTTTTTCTTTTTTTTTCTTTTTTCTTGATACTGGCCCATGTAATTCATTTGCGGTTCCTTAGAGTTAGCTAAAATGATGTTGTTTTTTTCAAAAAAAAAAAAAAAAAACAAGTGTAGTCCTAAGGGAAGGGGGGTTTTCATGCACAAACTACTACCAAAGTATCATGGGATTTCGAACGTTAGACTACTTATCTGTGGGCTAGACCCCATGGGCAAAATAATGTATTTTTGGTTCTATATAAGGAAATCAAAATTGAAATACTAACCGTGAATAGACAGAAACGAAAGTAAATGAGTAGGAAAGAGCAGGGCTGGGCTTCGTTAAATGGGAAAAATGATTACTATATTGTGGATAATTAGCTAGGAACTAACAAGAACATTAACACATTATTAATAAAAATTACAATTTCACCAACGCATCTAAACGGCAAAGTTTCACTTCTGTCCACTCCAGAATTAGATTCTTTCATGTTCATCTTTGAAAGCAAATTTGGAAGCTGGGTATCAATTAAACCAATTAAATCTGGCTTTTTAGATTAAATCGCCATTAATGGTAATTAACCTTTAACCTGTGAAGATCTATTTTGCAATTGTTTTGATTCCATTTCCTCCTTTTTGAGATGGTTTGGGCTTTTTAAAACATCTTGGGTTGACTTCCGATTTTGGTAAAACAAAGTCCAAAATCCCTATCTTCGATATGGGCCAATAGTCAAATGAGTTGGTGCGCGGAATTTAAGCCCAAACAGTTAGCAATTGATTAATGTTCATAGACTTCGAATTTGGTTGATTTTTGGATTGTCTTTGAAGGGGGTCTTAGAAATGGACGGTTCAAAAAACCACTATGAATATGAGCCTAACAGAGTAGCCTTCATGGCATTTATATAGTAATGTATATATATTTTTAAATAAATTTTAAATTTTTTTTATTTAAAAAAAAAAAACAAAATAACAAAAAAACTCTCAACAAATTAGAAAGGAGTAATAAAACTTGACAACAAATATTGTGCCTTATAATTAAGGTCAATTTACTAGATAAAAAAAAACAAATTTACATTAATCTTGGAAACATTTGAAACAATCTCTAATTTACATCAATCTAATCTGCTGTTCGAAGCTTTTGTCCATTGCAACAATCTCTAATTTCTCTAGAGTAGTAACAACTTCAATCTTTCTGGAATCTTTTTCAGTTTTAGGCACCTTTGTATCTTTAGATGCTTGAGCTTCATCATTGCATTTTCTTCCACTGTCCATTCCTCCAACGCTCTCAAAGAAACAAGGTGTAGAACTTGCAGCTGTGGAAACCCTTCTGAAGAGCAAACCAGTTCCCTCCATTTGTATGATTGGTTCCCCAAGACAAGCATCTTCAGGTATGGCAACCTTTCTAATTTACCTATTGAATCTTTCTGGAGCTCAGAACCAATCAAACTTAGCTTGACGAGGTTTGGCGGAAATTCACATACATCAGGTAACTTCTCTATTTTCCCCTTCAAACACAGCTTGTGGAGATGTTGGAAATGAGAGAGGCCCGTGGATGTTGGGAATGTTTCATTGTTCATCACCTCCAGCGACAACGATTGCAGGTAGCACATTCTCTTTAGGATTGAAATCACCAAGTTTACCTTTTCTTGTGATAATCTTTCTATTCCCAGTCGTCGTAGACTGATCATGTTGGCTAAGCCGCCGTCTTCTATCCATCTTCCAGCCCTTATAGTTTTTAGGGTCTGTAAATGGCTCAAGGTGTCCAATCTAAGCTTGACACGATATGGATTGGACGTATCACAAAGGAGCAAATGCCTCAAACGTTTCATCTTCCAAACGACATTGGGGATGGGTGAATAAAAATATCCCAAATCCAGTGTCTCTAGGTTCTTCAAGTTTCCAATCGATGGTGGGATGTAGCAATTTTTAAGAATCTGGCTCAATCCAAGATACCTCAACTGAATTAGGATCCCTACAGCACCAGGTGTGCGATTGGATCCCCTTGCATGCCTTAGATCCAAGACCTTCAGCAACTTGAAATCCTTTGTATTAAAATAGAATTCTGGATTATGAAAGCCATTGAAAAAACGAAGGGATCGTAAATGGGGAGCATATGGATTTAGGAAACGTGAGTGTAGGAGACCATGCTGCGTAGGGTTAGAATGTAAGGCAATTCTTCGAGATTTGGTTGATGGAGAAACTGATGATTCAACTTCACGACCAGTATAAATTCCAAGAAAATTTTCTTCCCTCGATACAGAGAGAGAGAAGTCTCTAAGAAGATCATGGATGCGGATGGTCTTAACCCTCCCAAGTGAGGTTAGAGTTCCCACTTGGATCATGCACCTATTAATCAACTCATTCAAGCAATTTTCAGCAACACCTTCTGCTTTATCTTCCCCTTGTTGGGGTAAGAATCCTTCTGCTACCCACAAGCGCATCAATTGCGTTTTTGGTATGGAGAAATCCTCAGGGAAAAGCCCCAAATGGAGAAAACATGATTTTAAGTGAAAAGGCAAGTCTTTATAGCTCAGGGCTAAAATTGCAGAAACACGATCTTGATCAATCAGGTGCCAACTGATGTTTTGAAGGACATGTTCCCATTCCTCTCTAGTCTCCATTTTCCGGGATAATAATCCTCCAAGCACCACCACTGCCAAGGGTAGACCTCCGCATTTCGTCACCATTTCTCTTCCTAGATTCTCCAAGTCGGAGGGAAAATGATCTGTTCCCGGGAGTGCTTTCTTGCGAAACAATTCCATGCTTTCGTCCTCTGTGAGTATTCGTGGCCCATGGGGAATGCTCCTTGCATCTGCATGTAAGGCAACCTCCCTGTTTCGGGTGGTAAGCATCACTTTACTTCCTGCCATTCCACTAGTAGGAAATACAGCTTCCAAACTATCCCAAACTTCCTTTTTCCATAAATCATCAAGAACCACAAGATACTTCCTCCCTCTCAAGAATTCGTACAGCTGCTTTACCATCTCCTCTTCGTCTGCTTCCTCGAAATCACCTATATATGGAACATTTAAATCTTTGATGATTCTTCGCAGAGTCTCTCTTCTTCTATACTCTTGAGACACATAAACGAACGCTTTACAATGAAATTGGTGCCTTAGTACAATGTGATTGTACAATTTTTTTGCAAGAGTAGTTTTGCCCAGACCCCCCATACCTACAATAGAAACCACTCGACGCCTCGGCTCCATGCTAGATAGTTGTGTTAGCAAAGCCTCAGTGTCTTGTACAAGATCAACCAAATCATCTTCCTCAATATGGAGTAATGGCTGTCTCCACCATCGCAGTCTCTCATTCGTTGAAATGCTCCCTTCACCTCTGTCTCGGGACGAAGCAATCATGCTGGCAATGCCGAAACTGTCCTTTTGCTTAGAAATGTGGTTGATCCTTGTTTGGATTTTTTCAATCCCCCTCTTGACTTTGTGACGATGGATTGGCATTACAACTTTTTTCCATAAACTTTGTGATGCTGCTGCTGCCTCTCTGAGGTAAGTTTCTACTACATCTTCGGCATCGAAGGCTACTTCTCTGATTTGAGACACCCAATTGCGAAATCTTTCGTTTCTGTCTTGTTCTGCCACATGGTCTGCATCCTTGAGAAAGCTTTGCATCCACCTCAATTCGTTTCTGATTTGCTCAACTTTCTCGCCAACCCCATTCAACAGAATCGCTTCTTGAATTATCAAGTTTGTGAGCTTTTCCGCGGCAGTTGCAACAGCAAGCTCTGCCATCTTTTCCACGGCAGTTGCAACAACAAGCTCTGCCATCTTTTCTCTCTTTGATTGGTTTTTCTTTTTTCTTTTTTCTCTCAACTGCTACTAATGTTGGTCTGCTCTTGTCTTCTTAAAGGCTTCTGCAAGTCCACTTTTCTTTTCTTTTTCTTTTTCATGAACCTTCCAGTCAACTTCCAATTATTTTCCAAATTGTAAATCGTTGGTGGGTTCCTCGTTTCCGCGTGGACCTCCATTACCAGCCAGGAACGTCCAAGTCTAAGAGCATCTCCAGCGCAGCAACAGAACCGGGCAAAAGGCCCCCCTCGCAAGCCCAAGGCAGCTCCAGCCCGGTTTGGCGTGGGTCCCACCAGCCCGGGCAAGCCCAAGGGCAGGTTTCGCCTGGGCTGTGACGTCAGCGCTAACGTCACGATGACGTCAGCGAGCAAAAAAAATCCAAAAAAATTTCAATTTTTTTTTTAAAATACCAAAAAATTATAGATGCTTTCCCTATAAATACATAACAATTTTATTCACTTTCTAAATTGTTTTATATTTTGTTGCATAATCTTTTTTTCCTTTCTTGCCCTTGCCCTAGCCTTTTGGGATGGATTCTTGCCCTAGACTTAGCCCTCATGGGTGGAACCACAAATGGCAAGGCTGATACTATTCATGTGAATAGTGGCAGCCCTTGCTTGCCCTTGCCCTAGACTTAGCCATTACGAGTGGACATGCTCTAATTGAGAGTTCAAACAGGCATCTTCTTGTTCATTTAGGGTCGGTTTCTTTTCTTTTCTTTTTCTTTTTTTTTAAATGAACCTTCCAGTCAACTTCCAATTATTTTCCACATTGTAATTCATTGGTGGGTTCCTAGTTTCCGCGTGGGCCTCCATTACCAGCCAAGAAGGTCCCCTCCCTCCCTCATCACTCTAAAGTCTAATTTAGAGTTCAAACGGGCATTTCTTGTTCATTTGGGGTCGGTTTCTTTTCTTTTCATTTTTCTTGACACCAGGCCCATGCAATTCATTTGTGGGTCCCTTGATTTTAGCTAAAATAATGTATTTTTGGTTCTATTTCCATATACGGTAGGAATAAAATTGTTTAATAATGACAGAAACTAGAAGAAATGAGCAGGAAAGAGTCAAGAGAAGTAGGCAGGGCTTGGCTTCGTTCAGTAGCAAAAATGACTGCTCTGCTATTGTGGATAATTAGCTAGGAACTAACAGCAAGACCATTATCGAATCAATAATAATAATTACAATTTCACGGACGCATCGAAACAGCAGAGTTTCACTCCTGTCCACTCCAGAATTAGATATCTTTCATGTTCATCTTTAAAAGCAAGTTCCAGGTCATAGCAAATATATAATGGGGTAATGCACCAGAATTCTACAACCTTCCCTCATAAAAATCCTACAATCACGTCAGATTTCTACAGCATTGTCTTACAAAAACCCTACTTTCGTACTTGCATGACATTTTCAGCAAATGCAAGATTGTTTGGAGAAGAATATACAATATCCTCCATGCTACTTGTAAGAGGCGACATGAAATCGAATTATTGAAGACGGATAGAGCTTCGAGTTGATCTTCTTAGATTAGGACCACCAGGTAAAGAAGCTTGAGAGGAACCAGATATATCTCCATCACCAATTTCATTTCTTCTTGGCCTCTTTTTCTTGAGTCCTGCAGGTGGCTGGCTCTGAGTAGGGTAATTTTGTTCATCATCTTCTACAGCTTCTGCTTTGGTTACCGTATATTGCCACTGAGTACCGCAACTTGGACAAACTCTTTCCCCCTGAAATACATCAAGCAGATTAACTTAGACCAAAAACTCTCTTCGGTTTTACTAAAAAATAAGTTGATCATTACCTTTCTTTCTGAGAACAATTTCTTAAGACAGTACTCATGGATTCGAGCTGTACAACCTTCTTTTTGGCACAACGCTGCCTGTCAAACATAACCCCAAAAGTTGTCAGATACAACGGCATCAAAAAACTATTGGCAATTACGGGCGCCAACTTGTTTAGTACAAGATTCTCAGGTTCCATAATTTACAAGCATTCACAGAAGCAATGCACATGATCAAATATAGGCACCCTCCAGCAAGAAACAAAACAAAGATAATAAAAGAGAGCAAGGCAGTGGACTGAATAATTTGACAATAGTAAACAAGTGATGAAGCTTTTGAATATTTAGGGATGTAGAAAGAAATAAAAATTAATACTAGCAAGGCAAAGCAACATTCGGACAACCTTCACCCCAGCTTCATTGCACACTTCACATGCTGGAACATCGTTACTGCGAAACCAGCTTCGTAGATCGAGGAAGGATCTGACACCAAGTCCAATATAATGATCTGGAGTAATGCTAAGCCACTGGTCCTGTACGAGTTCATCAAGAGTTTTTTCCTTCATAGATATTGAGAAATTCTTTAATACAGGAGGGACATGAGGTAGACCTCCATGTGATTGCAACATTGTACCCATTAGAACCTAAAGATAGAACACAAGAGTTATCAAGCAAACAAAGGCATGAACAGGTTTAATAACATTTGCGAGTTTACTCAAAGTTCTTTGTATCAAGTCTCATCTGATGAGGCACATTTATTTCTGTCCATTCCTTAAATCGCTAAGCTGGGGTATTAATAGCATGCCCACATCACTTAAGTGTTAACAACGTACATATGCCTGGAGAAATCTAGTTTTTGTTTTCTGAAAACAGGCAAAACAAATATAAATAAAAAAAGTTTACTTTTATCTCGTTAATCATCGAGAGAACTCTGCCACCACAGAAGCTTGATGTTTGAAGAAAAGAAAACAAGACCTTATAATAGTAAGTCTGCAGGCAAATAATTATGAATCTGTTTCATTCTAACGTTTAAAAGAAGACCAAAATGTTATTAAATTTAACTATGCCAGTAGGTCGCTGGACAACAGTGGTTGTATACAAAATATTAATGGAAAGAAAAGATTATATATTGCACGAAAAAGAGCTTTTATTGTAAAGCTAAAATTGCCAAACCTGATTCTCTAATCGTAGATTAAGAGCATCAATGTTAGATATGGTTCCTTGAGCTGCACCATCTTGCACAATTGCTTCTATCTGATATTCGATATCAAATAACATACGAAGATAATTTGAATGGAGTTATGTAAATATCAGAATATGATACAACGGAAACACTAGTCTATATACAACTTCAGAAGAAATCTGCATGTAGTTGTAGATATGTAGCTTCTCTTCTTTTTCTTAAAAGTCTCATATAAGGGCCAATACTTAGACGGAGGCTTATTATCAAGCATCTAAACTGAAGTTCAACCATTTATACAACACAGATGACAATATATGACTGGGGCAGCTTCTTGTTCATCCATAATGAACAAAATCTCGTGCTTTTTGAATGTCTATATTTTCCTCCATTATCAGCAGCAAAGGACAGCACAATGAAATGAATTCTCAGGTTTTTAGACGAATTATATAACTTATAGGAAGTATTCTTCACACATACACATGTACATGTGCATATGCTTGCTTGAACAACATACTTGCTTATGATTTTGAGCACACAACTTAGATAAAAACTAAAGAGAATAAGCTCGGAATTCCTTGTTTCTGTGTGTGAGAATGAGAGAGCGATAGCTTATGGAGGAACCCCATTTTCAACCAACCGCAGCTGTCTATAAGAAAAGTGCATGGACATTCAAAAGGTAGTTAACCTTTTTGTTTGCATTATGGTTTGGATGTCTCTCTCAGTTGCATGAAAGAGAGTCATACGACTTTATATTGCTTCAGAAACACAAACGAACAGAGTATTTATTGATTCAACTGATAAATGATTTTCCAAGGTATTTTTGGAGGAAGCTGATTCTTGTAAAGGAGATTTGCAAATTGATATATAGCATGCTTGCCCTCAAAGAATATTACAGGAAGACAAGAAAAACATAAGGTATATAAGAATTAAAGAGGAACCCATAAGTTAGCATATTGAAGACATTAATCAATGACTCAAAAGAGTTCCTCTAGTGGTACAAATGCTTGAATTCAACAGAGCTTTGTATGATCATTGGTTTTTCAGTTTAACAATTACAAGCTAAACCTAAGCTTCACAGATTATATATTGGAGGATCAATGGCAAGCAATATTTGATTACTTCTTTAACTGGATTTCATTCTATGAAGCCATCTTAATCCTCTTTCTCAATGTGCTACAATGTTAACTCTGACTGACTGAAATTAACTATAAGTCATTCTTAATGGGTAGTTAAGGGCTGACAAGAAACCCTGAACTTTCTGAAACCCAGTGCAAGACAATATGCTTGTAGGGTTTAGCTGATAAGTAATGCTATATCTCTTCCCTTCATAAAATCAATTGACCATGGAAAATAAGTAATCAAAGCTTTCAAACTACATAAACGCTGGAAATCTAAAAGAGTTTTGAGACTTACAATAGCCTTATAGAAAGCAATCTGGGCAACTGAATATTTTGTTCCCAGCTTCGATTCTTCGTCAGAAACATTATTGACAACTCCATAATAAACTTGACCATCATATTGAAATCTGCATCCCCGCAACTCAAACTGAACATAAGAAAGTGCCTTGTTTATCTTCAGAAGAAAATCATCAAATCGCTGCCGGTCACTACCTGTTTCAAATAAGATAACGTCATAAGGTAAGTGTTCAAATAATTCCTGTTAATCCTCCTAATCACTGCCTACAACCAAGAAGTCACCATCATTGCTATAGAATAATTCTAACATTAAAAACACAATTTTAAAAAAACAATGATTGTTTTCTTAGGTTTTTCCAGAAACTTTAACCTTAACTGCACGAAGAATTTCACACAAAAATATACCATTTCTAGCAAAATTGATCTCCTTTTTTTTCTTTAAATTTTGAACGTATTGACACAAGCACATCGATCCAAACGAAAGTATCAGTTTATTCTTAGAATTACTGAACCATTGAATTTCAAAAATTAATAAAGAAAATAGGGAATTTTGGGGAAATTATGAAGAGGAAGACCTGGGGTTTTTCCGGTGAGGCCCGTGAAGATGCGGTGGAACTGGTCCTCCTTGAGTGGGCCGCGTGAAAGC